TAATCACAAATCACTTCGTTAGATCCTAAGGAATGTGGTTCTAGTATTGGCAATCACTAATTGGTGGTAGGGGCTTTAGCTTCATTTAAGTTTATTATAGTCTTTACGCTATGTTTTTTTCTTTTTTACTGGAATATATTTTAAATTCGTTACCATACCTTCTTAGTCATTGCCTTTTTTTTTCCCTTCTTTTAATTTATTATTATTACAACGAATCTTATTACAATAAAGTCGAATAAATTTGTCAATTACAAAATAAATTATACTTACCAAATAAACTTGTAAAAATGAGAGATTCTAAATATATATATAAATAGATAAAATAAAATACCCACAAATAAAATAATTGAATTTTTTAGGGTTTAGGAAAAAAGTAAATATATATACATATATATATAAAATGTAATATTTTTTTTCTCTTCATTCCATAAATGTCCCTAAATACAAGATCAAAAGACAACCTTTAAGTTTACTCATTGCCAATTGATTCCTCTAAAAAGTTAGCCGGCCTTTTTTTGGACTCATTTAGGCTCTGTTTGGTTGTGAATTCAAAATGTAATTCTATATAATGTAATATTTTTTTTCTCTTCATTCCATAAATGTCCCTAAATACAAGATCAAAAGACAACCTTTAAGTTTACTCATTGCCAATTGATTCCTCTAAAAAGTTAGCCGGCCTTTTTTGGACTCATTTAGTTTTTATTTTTGATTTTTGTAAGAAAAAAAGTATAATAATTATGATTTAGATGTGACATTTTACCTTATTGACTTACGTAACCAATTTTATCTTTATATTTTTTTAGCCAAAAAGCCAAAACCAAACAAACCACAACCCTCTTAAACCAAGTCAACCCCGCGCAAGGGGGTGAAATTAATAAGAGAAATTTGATCATAAATTTCTCAAGAGGCACTTATCTTGTTAAAAAGACAAGAATTATATAAATACTTTTAAAAGTCCGTAATATTTTAAACAAAAATGCTAGAGACCTAAAAAATTCTATCAAATGTCTTACATAGGTGTGGAACCTACATGGGACCTACATTGTGTGAGTCTTACACCCATGTGAGACATTTGATAAAAATTTTAGTAAAATTTTTGAGGTCTCTAATATTACTCTATTTTGAAATATTTTTCTTATCACTCTCATAGTCACTGTTTGTCTTCACTATCTCATATAAGATTGATGACCTCAGATTTGAGATTTATCACCTCAAATCTAAAAATCAATAGTTCGTTCCTGCTCTCTTTTTGACATTGTTTCTCTCTCCTTAGATCACTCTATCTGTTTCTCTTTCATTCGATCTCTCTCTCTCTCGTTCACTTATTCTCCTATAAACCCTATTTTTTATTTGTTATCCTTTTTTTATTCATTCATAGGCAAAATCTCAAATTTTAATCTGATTCAAAGTAAAGTTTTATACTTTTAACAAAAATTGAGAGTTATAAAGAAGTTTTGCAAGTATTGAAATTTTTTTTTGTCCTTTTGACAAAAAGTGAAAGGTCTAAAGGACTAATGACTAAATCTCCCACAATTATAATTAGGGTAAATTACAAACACATCTCCTGAGATTTACTTAAATTATAAATTACCAACTGTGATTTTAGAAATTATATTATGCCTCCAAAGGTTTCTAATTTCATAACAAATAGGTCCTTTTACTAATAAATCATCAAGTTAATTAACAGTTTTCAATAATGTTAAAATTTTATTTCAATTAATAATTCAAATAATTTTATTATTGTATAGGTGAATGGTTAGAAATTTCACTTTTTCAATTAATTCTGTTAAATAAAAATTCTGACAATGAGGTATTTGTAATTTTCCAAATCACAGGAGACAATTCGTATTTTAAGCAAATCTCAGGAAGTGTATTTATAATTTACCCAAATAATTAAGAGTTCATTATCATATACCAGGTCACTAATTGCCATTTCATTCCTCATAAAAGTTTGGAACTCTTTATTACATCAATGTGGCTCACTTAGGCTCTATTTGGAGCATAAATTTGGATATAAATGTTAAAAAAGAAAGAAGAAAATGTGTAAAATATAAATAAAATATAATTATATTTAATTCATATTTCACCTACTTTTTTCCATTCTTTTTCCATTCTTTTTTCAAATCTTTAGGAAAGACCCAAAAACCATTCAGTGTTATTAGTATATTGCTCCAGTTCACTTACTACTTGAATCTTTCACATTGAGTTTGTTTAATGCAACTACTAAAAAGTTGAAAATTAATATTAAAAAAAAAACTAAGGTTAATAACAATTCTCATACTGCCTTTCAATAATTAACTTGTTTTTTAATCAATTTATTTAAGATATTTCTATCTCATAAGTGACAAGCATAAATTGCACCAAACACTTCAACACAAATTGACCTCCCTTAAGATTTGAAGAAAATAAAGCAAATATTATAATTTTGACATAATTACATTGACCTTCCTTTTTACTAATGCTAAATTAACCAGAACTAATGTAGAATTTGTGAAAACACCATGATAGACAATGAAAAATATATACACTTTAGCATAGATGTAATAACATTATTTTTTTTTATTCATAAGATTAAAGAATTATTGATGAAAAGAGAGCTCAATGTTAAGTGAATTAAAATTCTAAAGGAACTCAAATTATTATACAAAAACGGTGGAGGTCAGGATAATTTACCCAAATTTTAAATTTTAAAAAAAAAATCATAAATAACTCTATAAACAAAACCAAACATCCCATTGTCTCCTAAACAGAACCACATGCCCTCTAAGAAGTCAACTTGATGTCTATAAATTGGCCGATTTGATTTGATTTGTTTTGGTTTGATTTTGGCAGAGGCTTAGCTCTGTTTTGGGACCAAAAATCTGAAAAAAGTCTATTTGGTTTCAGCAGATAATGAAATACATAGCAATTTTATTTCATTGCAGCTTAGAGATGTTTTGAGAAGATAATTAAAAGTTATTTTTAATTTTTTTTTTGTGAGAGTGAGAAGTAAGTCAAAAACTGAAAAATGGGTTAATAAAAATGTTTGCTTACAAAATTGAGATATGAATTAGATTTCTGTGGGTCAGGCTGAAGACTTTCTTCATTTTGTTTTATTTTTTTGGATAAGGAAAGACCCAAGACCAATTACACAGACATACATACCAGTTCAGCTGCAGCCAATGAAAGACGGGTGCTGGTACAAATACGAGTATAATATAGGTATGTCAATACGCTAAAATTGTTTTTTAAAAAAATAAGATACGAGTACGGTTAGAGTACGTCAAATATTTATTTATTTATTAAATTTATAACTAAACATCCAACTTACAAATTAAAGTTCAAAACAATAACTATAAAGAGAAATTATAAAACTCAAAATAAATCAATATTCAATAATACAAATACAATACTATAAAACAATAATGGAAGAGGACAAACTTACTTACTAACTTTGTAAAGAGTTGGTGGTTCCAAATTACATAAAGTTTTTGAAGATGATTAAAGAGAAACAAGGCCGTAGACTTGCATGAATTCCAACTTTTGAAAAAAGAAAAAAAAATACTATTGTTGAGTACCCATGGAGTACTCACCCCGCACCTATTGAGTTCCCACTGCGTATCCAACCGTATATGACATACCCACCGTATACTCATGGCGTACCCAACCATATACGGCATACTCAGTATGCATGCAACTCTACTGATATACGTACCTACATCCGATAAGTACCCAGTACTTGTACAGCAACAATTTTAGAGTACCCGAGCTTCATAGGCTGTAGCAATAGGAACCAAAGAAGGTAGAACCTCACAACTCAATTGTTTACTCCTAGCCAAGGCTTTTTAGCCCACCGGTATTTACCCCAACCCTCTTATTTTAGTTAGGATGTTCAAACCTCGCCCTTTTTGCTCCTATCTATTCCACCCAAGCCCACCACCGCTTAGCAACTCCCTCTTCCCCAATACCATTGAGGGTGTGTTTGTTTGGACGGACTGAATAAAAGAGAATTATAATCCATCGGACTGTTAGTCCCGGAATACATTGTCCCCGGACTATTTGGTTAGATTGAATTTGTATCCTATGTTTGTTTAGTTATGGAATTAGATGTCTGGATTGGACTATTTTTAGTGAATCCAATGTTTGATTAGACGGACTGAATAAGGATAAATGTTCAAAAGACTATTTTACCCTTGTAATTTATAATTTTAAATTTGTAATCTATAATTTATAATTTAACAACACTAAAAAAATTTAATTTATAAGGCCATAATTTTTAATTTATTATTTTTAATTAAATTTAATTTATAATTTATAATTTAAATTTTTTATTTAATATATAATTTTAAATTAACAACACTAAAAACAAAATTTATAAATATTCAAAAGACTATTTTACTCTTTTCCAATTGTTTACTAAGTAATAACATGGAGGGTAAAATGGGCATTTCACAAAATAATACCATGGGATACCAATCCCATGGTTTCTATCCCCCATGGGATAGGATTGTCCTATATTTGTGGGACTAATAGCCCGAGAAGACTATTAGTCCGGAACAAAAAATTTCAAACAAACAATGGCCCCGTTTGGTAAAGCTGTGGAAAAGTAATTATAACTTATAGCCTAACAGCTTATAACTTATAACTGTGAAAATAAGTTAATTTTTTACTTATAAATTAAGCTTCTCCTCTCCCACTCAAAGAATAAGTTGATTTTTGACTTACAAAAAAGTATAAGTTGTATTATTAAACTGAACCAAACATGTCAAAATAGCTTAAATTAAGCTAAAAACTGAAATAAGCTGGAAATAAGCTCTACCAAACAGAGCCAATGTTGGACTAATAGTCCAATCCCACACCCTAATCCTTCAAAACAAACACAAGCTAGATATATATTTGTATTCCAATACTAATAGCGTTTTTATTTTCTTCCCTATCCTTTTCATATTGACCACTCCCACAGTTACTCTTCCATGTATAAATATATATTTTAGATAATCTCCATTGCCTTAGCAGCAAAAAGTTGAAAACTTACAAACTTAAATTATACCAAATATATGAAAAGTAAAGTTGGTAGGCTGTCAACAATTTTAAAGAAAAGCAATTAATTATCAGCCATACATGCTTAATTATTGTTTACAACAGAGACATCACTCACTACACACACATGATGGTCATGCAAGAGGCTGCTTGTGTAAATAAAACCTATCAAGTACAAAGGTCTCTTTTTATCAAAATTCATCAAATTTACCTCGCAAATCGCAGGGTCCATTCTGCAGCTAATTCATCATGTTTTGCTCTATCAGCCAAGTACAAGCGAGCAATGCCTGGAACAACTGGCTTATCTACAAGAATTAAGCATGTCAGTTGATTAGTAGAACAATATATATCTCAGTTGAACAAAGTAATTGAAAATAAAAGAAGGTAGTTGGATTGTCAAATTCTTAAATTAAACCCAAATTACTGCTCAAGATCCAAAAAAGACATGACAACCTATAATCCTGCCTCAACCAGGTCACAAATTGAGTGGAAATACTCACATGTGTCAGGGTTAGTGAACATAGATTTCACTGCAAGGAGCACTTTTGATATCGTCAGGGCTGGACTCCAACTGTCTTTCAGGATGTCTAAACTAACGTTGCCAGTAGAATCAACATTACAGTGGTAGATTCGAGTTCTGAACACCACCTGCAGTCCTGAACCTAAAATTATAAAATAAAAAGATGGAACAATAATAATGCCCAACAATGTTACATGCACTCTTCTATTTCTCCCAGTAAAGTCTTGCCCATTGGATAGAATAAATTCAAATAAAACCCTAAACACTAACATGAACACGAGTGTTTGGATCAAAAGTTTTTCTTGATGATCATAGTCTTGTAGGAATTGTAGACTTTGCTTTAGGCTTCCAAACCTATTATACTTATTTATCCATGCATTAGGTGCAGCATCATGATGGCTAGGACTCCCTTAAACGTTGTACTCCTTAAAGCATGTATAGTTCGAAAAGATCCACCTATATTTTTCACACACATTTTCCCTTTCCCTTTTCAAATCCATGAACCAAACCAAATGCAGCCTAAGGGGGTGTTTCAGAATTGGTTTTTTCAGTGATTTTTTTGATTTTTTTACGAAAAGATATATAAAAAAGTAGATAATGATTTGATGTCTTGTAATAATATTTTGATTTTTTAACTTAAAAAGTTCCAAACAGGGCCTAAATCTTATGTGACATTTAGTCTTTGAGGAGACAAAATAAAATTAATGTGTTAAGTAATTCTCAGTATTTATTTGGAATGTTTTTGAGTATACCTCTGGAGGTTTGAAAGGATATTCACTTGGAAATGTTATGTCAAGAAAAAAGATGCCATCTTCATAAGGTGTTCCTACAAAAAGAATGTGAAGAAACCCCGTTTATAAAAACAAACTGGACAAGTAAGCAAGATTAGAACATTTTTTTTCTAAAATCATTTATTATGTGCAGTGAAGGTAAGCACCATAAAACTAAAATACCATTTAGAAAATACTGCAAAGTTAGTTCATATTTTACATTCAAACAACACATTCAAGAGCCCAAGAAATCCAACAGAGAAAATGGGTAATGCAAAATTGGACCTGTTATCTTATGTGCCTGTATTAACAACCAATCATTACATTGTTTTTTTTTTTTTGAAGAAATAAAAATGTTTACTTTAAATTGAGGATCCAGATTCAAAAAAAGACAAAGCACGACAGTAAGAATTTTAATTTTCCGTTCCTTTTCCCCCTAACTAGTACCCTAACTAACCCTAGTACACTAACATGTAAATTTTCAAACAATATTCAACATTGAGCATTATCATTTCAAATTCAACGAGAGAGAGAAAGAGAGAGAGAGGGAACCAGAAGGACCAATGAGGGTGGCGACCCAGTGATAGAGATTGTCGCCTTTGGGGCCGGCGGAGCAATCGGAAGGAGGGTCGAGGTTGAGGTCGGACATCTCCTTTTGAATTCTCTTACCTGACGCCGACACCGATGTCGTCGACGGCCATGATTTTCCCCTTCCTCCTCCTCCTCCCGCCGACGTCCCTGTGCTGGAGTTCATTTGCTCTCTGTACTACTTGTGCTCTCTCCCCTCTCTCTCTCTCTCTACACACAACAGAGAAAGTTTGGAAGAGAGAGAGGGCCCTGTGTGGATATTTTGAAAGAAATTTTTTTTTTTGACTTTAGTGGTTTTTTTTTTAATTACTCCCTCCGTTCCAAAATATTGGTCCTTTTTTGGGAATTCAACTTTTTTTGGTAGTACACTTATTGCATTTGAAAAAAGTTAGTTTTCTAAAATTACCCTTTTGATAGTACATTTTTTAGAAATATCAATGTCATAATTGTACTTTTTAAATTGTTTATTAATTTAAAAGAATGGCAAAATAGGAAATTTATATTATTTTTGTACTTGATTTATAAAGATGGACTAATATTTTGGGACAATGAAAAATGGAATAAGGGACTAATATTTTGGGACGGAGGGAGTATGTCAATTTGTTTTTACATTTTTGTCTGTCTTATCGTGACGAAGATAAAAATTAGTGGAGTATGTATTTTTGTGAAAAATTTCAAAAAAAAAAAAAAACACTAAGAATGAAATGTTAAAAAATGTTGCTTATTTTGATTTTTTTTATAGTTTTTTTAAAAATTTATAATTTAGAAACCTAAAATTTTTTGAAAATTTTAAAAAAAAATTCACTAAAAACAAAAATAGGTAAAGTCAAAAAATGCATTTTCCAAAACACTCCCCAAAGAAGATGGGTAAATTACAATTTGCCCCCTTTATGTGTTAAGATTCTTTTGTATTTATTTATAAAGTTAATTTAGAGAATTTTCTTGGCCTGGAAAGTGTAGGAAAATTTTGGAGTTCCAAAATGATGAGCGGAATATAAATATGGACTAAAATTAGAAGCTTCATATTGAAATGTGTTATCTCTATAAAGATAAGAACAAAGCTTATTATTATTTTGGACAAATTACATATACCTCTCTTGAGATTTGACTAAATTACAGGTATTTCTTGAGATTTCGAAAATTACATCCCGCCTTCTAAGATTTGCATTTTCATAACAATTTATCCCCTGAGGTTTAAATTTCATAACAAATTACTCCCTAATTTGTTATGCAAATATAGCATTCAGGAAAAATTTGTAATTTTTCAAACCTCATGAGAGTATTTGTAATTTTGCCAAACCTCGAGTGGGTATATGTAATTTGCCTTATTATTTTTTATCTAATTCTAAAAATAAATTAATTTTTAAATTAAATTGAAACATAAATGATTAAAGTAAAAATAAATAAATTTTCAAAGTTAAAAGGAAAAAAAGGACTCAGGGATTGTTTGGAATGTTTTAAATAAGTGTACTTTTTTATTTTTTATAAAATATAGGTTGAATTTAAAGTGATGTGATAGAGATGTGATTTAAATAAGGAAAATGCATTTTACCCCAGCTGGGGGTGACACCCAGTGAGGTGTCAGCTGGGGGTTGGTCCGAAAAAACCAGTTTTTTTTTTTTTTTTTTTATTTTCGACCAGTGGGGGCGCGCCACGTCACTGGGGGCGCGACCCCCACTGAGTGTATGAAGCAATGTCCTTTAAATAAAATGATATGATTTAAATAGAATAATAATTTTTTAACTTTTTAATTTTTTAGAAGATGTGAAGCATAGTTTATATATAAAGAAAGTGTAATTTATCAAAGAAGATCAAATCATTTGATGGCATCGTCAGAATTATAAACGATGTCATTGGTCTCTTGCTTTTCTTTTCTTTTCTTTTCTTTTTGTTGCATATTTGAGTGAAATTTTGGTTACAACCTTGATTCAAAAAAATCCATTGATGTTTCTCCCAAAAATCACTTTTAATCATTTTTACATAAGAAAAGTATATCTCTAAATATAACCATTACTTTATTTTTTGTGAAGGATTTGAGATGACAAACAAAATTCTAGGATTGTTTTGGAAATCTTTAAATTTATCCCTACAATGAATTTAAATATATCTTGTATATTTAAGATATTCACACATTTCAGTATTTTTTTTAGAAAAGATTTACGTAGAATAATTGTGAGGTGACAACTCACATTTTTTACGCATTTATTTCTGTCCTATTTAAAAATTTGTTTTATGTCTATATTTGAATGAGTGTTCTTTCTTTTAATAGAATTTGAGTTAAATTTTGTACAATTTTATGAACAATAGGACATAGATCAATAAATCTAAAATAAATGACTAGAGGTTACGATCTACAAGTAGAATAATTATTTTAAATTTTAAAAATTAAAATAATCAGATTATTTCAAATTCTAACCCAGTAATCATAGCACGTGTAACTCAAAAGGTTCGTAGGTTCGACTCACCCTCCATATGTAAAAACTAAATCCCAACTCAATAAACACATTTCATTCCAAGCTCTTTTTTTTTTGTCATTCCAAAATCCAAAATTCATCTTCCAAATGCTGTCACCATTTCAAGGAACAAAAGTCTCAAAGTCTTGCAACAATATACATATGCACATGCTCACTTGCAAAATAAAGAAGAGGAAAGGAAAGGAATTAAAGAAAAGAATCAAAATTGACTAAAAATGGGATATGATTAACAAAAATGAACATTTGAATCATCAAGATGAACTGTCAAAGCTCGAGAATTTCCCATGATTTCATTGCAATTTTCAGAGCAGTGACTAATTACGCAGCCCGGAATGAATCGAGCAATATCAATGCAATAAATCCTAAAATCAACGACCCAAACTCTGGAATTTGAATCCTCGAACTCTCTCCAGTGGAAGGAGTAGTTGGTCCAAATGCAGCGGTAGGCGAGATTATTGTACTTGAGCCCGAATTTGAACTGTCCCAAAAAAAATATTAAATGTTATAGGCCAGACCGAGACAAAAAAATAGGTGCCGTTTTGGAAACTTTCATAAAAAGTCACGTTTTTTATCATTTTTCAAAAACACAAGTGGCTAAAAACGCAACAAAATTGGTTTGGGAAAGGCCAAAAACGCAAGTGTGAAATTACAAATTAGAACTTATGACCAAAAAAAAAAAAATTCTTATGTTGGGTAAGGATATTTTAGTCATTTTAATTTGATTTGACACCATAAATAAATATTAAACTAAAAAGCAAAAAGTCAGCTTTTTACCAACTTCTCAAATCACTTTCCAAAAAGCTAAAAAGCTTGGTAAAAAGCCAAAAGTCAATTTTTTACTAACTTCTCAAAACACCCCTAAATTTAGGAACATGTGCAGATCGAAGTTCTCACCTTCCAGTAAAGATACACGTTCCATAGCCTGCAAAAAAACACACATCAATAGAAAAAATAAGAGGAAATAAAATAATGTAATAAAGTACAGGCTTGATTCATAATGTATAAAATAATAGTATCAAAATATCAATGAAATAAGAAAATTAAAAGGAAAGGAAAAGAAAAACCCGGCAAACATACAATACAAGAATGTAAACCTATTCAATTGGTATATGCATCCAATTAAGCCAAATACCCATGGCAAAATTTGCAAAAATGAAAAAGATAGTTCTAACTTTTGAATATATATTGCATCACTCTAAAAATTAGTAATCAAGTACCCAGAGATATAGTTGAGCATAAGCTCAGGAAACCAAAATACACAACTCAAAATGATTAACAATATTATCAAAATCTATAAGGCTGCGGAGCGGATACAATATAAGGCATATCAATAAAAAAATAACGCCCAATTAGTACGCATTAATGTATGTTTGGGAGGAGGGAAATTGACATTATCAATGAAAAATAAAAATAAAGATTGGATTATTGAATGGAAAAGAAGGCGGGGGCCTTTCCTGAGAGCCTAAAGCCTACTAAAAACTGCAGGCCTAAAAGCTTTATGTGAGCTTGACTAAAAGGGCCTCTAGCCTGAGATAGAATGACATTTTTAAGAAAATCAAGGAATCACGTTTGGAAAATTGTTACTTCAGTGAAATGACATTGTGAAAAAAGAGTTAACAAGGTTTAGCAATGCTCTCCCATTTAAATCCTTCATTTTCTCCTCAAAATGAAAGAGACCAATCACAGCCATTATTCACTCAAAGAAAATGGTGAAAAATGCAAGTGGCAAAATAAATTTCCAGGAAAATATGTTCCAGACCTGTAAATGAGTATTTCTTAAATAAATTTTATGTAAATTGTGAAGCAATTCATAAAAGATACAGCGAGAAATGAAGCCCAATTAGCAAAATATTAACATAGACCCAACTATAAAAACCTACCTTCAATGGCGACAAAATCCCACATTTTCATCTTAGGTCTGTGATATCCAAGAGCTACAAGTAATGCAGTCCATCAATAAAATCAATGCCTATGTATATCTAGGTTAGGTATTAAAAGCAACTTCCAAGAATAATGTACTATTTTTGGTACATTGGAGGCCATAGCCTGGGGGAGGGGGGGAGTTGCCTGTGGCAAGACTCAAACCGTTAACCTAATGTAATTTAATGAACACCAAAGTTGAGCGTCAGTTTGTCTCAAGCTTATTTTGTAGTGATTCCTCAAAGAATAATGCATCATTTTCCAGGCAAAAGCCAAACTAAGGCATGTTATAGATATCAATATATCATACATACCGATCATCTAAGTGTTAGCACCATTAAAACTCAATTTCCCTCCAACATTGCTTCCACTGACATGTCAAATACCAATCACCGGCCTTCCAATTTTCACAAGCACAGAGGCTTTCCAAAGATTCTATGTGTCTACATAAGAAGTATTGGTAGCCACAAAATCCAACTCTGGATAAAACCAGATTGAATTGTAAGACATATCAAAAAGAACAAAAGAAACAGAGCTCTGAATAACACTATAAGTTTAAGAAACGACAGCAGGAACTTACTGGGATCAACAGTACTTGTCGTGGCTGTACCACCAAAGTCACAAGTTCCACCAATGCTATGCATCTTTTGATAATAATCATTGTAAGCATAAGAAGCATGGCTTCGTAGAGTATCAGGGTTATAACATCGCTGTCCCGGTTGAATAGCACTGCAGTTAGCATGACCTTGACCACAAGCCCAATTCAGTCCATTTTGCAACTTATTGGTATCAGCACCTTGTTTTGCAATACAAAAAACCGAAGAAGAATTCCCAGAGATTTGACCAGTAGTACTCGAACTCAGAGAATACACAGCAGTCCCATTGGTATAAAAGAGACCCCAGTTTCTCTCCAAGGCAGGCCCAGGCCTCTTGTCTTCATTGAATAACTCATAAATATATGTATTGATGGGAAAAGTAGGCTGACTAGGTGGACCTGAACCATTTAACACACGCTGAATCAAGTTATTGTTGAAGGTTTCAGCATTCTCTGCAGTGGCATCGGGTTCATTGGCTCCACCAAGCCATGGCCACCCAGTTTCTGTCACGACAATTGGGATCCCTGAAAAATTGAAAGCTGCCATAGAGTTATAGGCAGCATCCACCATAGCGTCAAACATGCTGTTATAGTGAAAAAGCGTGTTCGGGTCGACAATCTGTTTGACTGAGGAAAGTGGTTGAAAAAGAGCGTAATCGATGGGAAAGATGCCATTGCCATTAATGTACCCATAGTAAGGATATGCGTTTAACATGTAATAAGAATTTGTGTTTTTTAAAAACTGAAGGATTTGGAAAATTGTAGAATTCCATGTAGAATTGAAGCTGGCGGTCGAGGGTGGAAATGGCCTAGCAATTATATCCATGGATTGTGGGGTTGATACTTTGATTTGATAATTTAGGTTCGCAGCAACTAGGGCTTTGTGAAGGTAATTCATGGCGGGAACCAAAACGGGAGCGGCATTTGGGATTGAAGTAAGGACCTCACTGCCAACAGCAATCGCAGTGATATTCGTCGAAGGCAAGTAAGCAGCAACATTTCTATTAACCCATGTCGCGGCTGCTGATGGAGATTCTCCTATCCCTAAGACTTCCTCGTTAGTGACACTGACCATAACTTCAATCCCGGTGTTTGACAGAGCATTCAGCATGTGAGCATCGGAATCAAAAAGGCGCACATGAGTTGTTTGAGTGGTTTTAAGAATAGCAACCACTTCTGAAGCTGGCGGCAGGTTGGAAACATCGGTGCCTATGTTTATTCCTACAAATGCAGCTGATGCATTGGAAAGCATACCAATTAAAAGCAGGATGCTTTTGAGACATATTTTGGGCATCATCTGATTCAAGAAATCTTCAACCTGAACTTTCACTCTATAGAGTGTTTCTTCACTCACGTTTAACTGACATTACCACAAGTTCATGGCATCAAAAAAATAAACCAAATAAAGAACTTAAATAAAGCTCCAAATCTACGCAGAAAGAACCTAAAAAATTAACTTTAACCACAAAATAATCCGGAACCATGCCCCTAAAATAGTACAGGTCACACATTAAAAAAAAAAAAAAAATCAAAACCGTAGTCATGATGCGTAAAGAAGGATCAAAACCTTCTCTACTTTTATATAAATGAGAGAGAGAAAGAGAGTGTTGAGTGAAGCATCTAGGTTTTGTTTAGTGATCGATGGGTGAATAATTAAAAAGGATTTGGAGAGGCACTAAAATTTAAACAGTTATGTTGAAACTATGAAATTATGATTAACAAAAGTTCAACCTCTTAAAGGGGAAGACAGAGGAAGATGAATAAATATCTGAAAAACCTGCAACCAAGAGAGCAATCATGAAAGAGAGAAGGAATATTTTGATCCCATTAAAAGAATGTCACAAGAGGGGTCATGATGAAAGAGTTAAAAGCTCAAATCCGCAACCAAGTAGAGATGTGAACCATATATATTACATTACACGTATATATACAAGCTCAAAACACAATGTACATGGGTGAGTAAGTACATGAAAGGATTGAAAAATCAAGACATCATACTGAAACTATATTCAAGAAATAAGAGTTATACATATTACATTGCATGTATATGTACATGCTCAAAACACAATGTACATGGGTGAGTGAGTCTATGAAAGGATTGCAAAATCAAGACATCATGCTGAAACTATATTCAAGAAATAAGAGTTACTTAAAAAAAAATTAAACATAAACGTAGAAAAAAATAAATGAATATTAAAAAACTACTTTTTCCCAATTAAAAAATAACAATTTGTTGAGGAACCATGATCAATGGATTCACGAGATAAACTCTCCAAAAATTAAAAACATAGTTGCACGAAGCGCAAGCAGGGACAGGGTTTAGAAGAGTTTAAGGTTGGGAGCGGCAGGGGGAGTGATTTTCCAGAGCAAGGAGTGAGGCCTCAATCCTCATAGTAGGAGTTTCCCTCCACTAAGATTAAAATGCTTGCTGAATTTCAAGTAGATAATAATCCCCACTCATGTCAACTTTTGTGTCAATAATTCATAGATAACTGGAATTCATCTCAAGCACATCTTCAATCATCCCAAAACCCAAACAAATTGTTTATTAAAAGAAAAAGGAAATAAAATAAGAAGGGCAAGAAATAGGAAAAACAACAGAAACCCATTACAAGTTAAGCCTAAACTCAGAGAACCCACTTAGCAAAACACCCAATAAACATCATCACCCAAAAGAGTACCAACAAGCAGAAATCAAAAAAACAGTGAAGAAGAAGAAGTAGTACCTGGCTATAGTGGCTTAGCTGCAAATCCACCCTCCTCTCTCAAGAGAACTCAAAAGAATTAACAAAACCCTAAAAATTTCAAAGACAGAGCTTCAAGTTCAAGCCTCAGAGACAAACTTGACAACCCAGAAAAGAGAATCTGCTAAAGAATTTTGAAATTTTGCAAAACCTCACAAAGAAAGTTAAAAAGCCTCAGTCACAGTCACACTTACACGTGGAAACCATAACAGCAAAACCTGGCGCTCTCTCTCCCTTTCCCTCTGTGCACTTGATAAAAACTCTTTCACTTTTAAATGCAAAATAATTGACTGTATTATTCACCCCCCCAAAAAAAAAATTGACTATACATTACCCCGCCCACATCCCCTTTGACAAATTGATAAATACATTTAATAACAAATATAATATAATATAAATGCATAAACAAGTAATAGAAGAAGCTACAGAGACCTCTTCAGTGGCAGCTTTTTCTTTCTTTCTCATTTCTCAGGCTCCCTCTGTTCAAGACCTCTCTGTTCGTGAATTTTGTCTTGTGGCTTGTCTTTTTGGTTACTAATAAAAGAAATTAATACTAGAAATACAGCCAAAAAAACAAAAAATAAAAAATATTAAAATTTTTACTAAATACTCTCTGTTCAAGACCTCTCTGTTCGTGAGTTTTGTCTTGTGGCTTGTCTTTTTGGTTACTAATAAAAGAAATTAATGCTAGAAACACAACCAAAAATATAAAAAATAAAAAATATTAAAATTTTTATTAAAATACTCGTATAGGTATAAGATCTATACATTCATGCAGGACCATTTATGTGATATTTGATAAAAAATTTAAGATTTCAAGTATTTATTAGGGTCGTTCAAAAAAAAAAAGTATTTATTAGGGAAATTATAATATATATGAGTAATATTAGAGACTCAAAAGTTCTATTAAATGTTTCATGTGGATCTCACAACATTTGATAAAAAATTTGATAGAAGTTTTAGAGTTTCTAACATTTTTGTATATATATTGTATCATATGAATCTTTCTTATGTTATTTTTTTCTTTAATTATGACTTATGAGTTTCTTAGTTATATCTCATGTTATGTTTAGTAATGATATTTTTTTAATTATGACTCGAGAAATATAAAGTTGTATAATTTTTTCTTTAGTCATAATATGTATATGATAAACACTCTTTAAAAATATGTAATATAATGTTTCCTTATTTATTATAAAAGAATAAATAAATTATTGATTCCTTAAAGAAAGTACTTACCTAGTACATTTAAAAAATAAATAAATAAAAAGAATGAAAAAGAAGAAGAGAAAAAAGGTGGTGTTATTCCCACTTTTCTTTTATTAATCCAACGCATTATTGAAAGAATTGCAAAAATTAATAATAATAATTTTTTTATTAAATATATAAAGAGTTCCTCTCTCAAACCTTTTCACTTTTTCTTTTTTCATCACTTGAGAAAGGGAGATAGTTTTGTTAATTGTGCAAAAATTATTTAATAAGAAAAAAATTAAAAAATAAAAATTTGTGACATCCAAAAAGAAATAGAGAGAGAATACTAATCAATAAAAAGTGATTGACAAGTTTGGACACTTTTTGTAATTCTCCCTCCAAAAGCTTTCTGTGTTTTCTCTTCGTCGGTTTTGAAAAGGGAGCTGAAAAGTCAGTATGTGGATTGGACCAATTATTGCAAATTCCCTTTTCTCTTCTCTGTGGGAAATCTGATTTTATTGCAAATTTCCAAATTATTTTGAACGGATGGAGATGAGAACCATCATGAAAAATGACTAGTGTATTATACACATCTTGAAACATCCTGAAAAAATTACTAGTGTATATTATTTAGTTCTAATTATTTTTTACAATTATATTTTCAATAAGATTATTCTTATAAAACAAATCAAATTATTCAAACTTCTTTTAAATAAACTTAAACAATCTATTACATTATCTGGCTTGATTATTTGCATTTTAAAAAAATCAAATTCCTCAAATTCAATTAAAATTAATTTAAAAAGACTCAAAAAATAAACCAGCCAAACTCAAATATATTTTTAAAGAATTCATTAAAAGCTTTTAACAGTATGTTAATAGCCTTCACTCATGCATTGTCCTAATCTTCAATAAACATTCGATTTTTTTAACTTCTTACTGACTTTTGACCCTTTTAATTGAAAGTACACTTAAAAGGAAGAGAAAAACCGAAAGTTGTTGAATTCAAAATGTTCCCCTCAAAACTAAAAGATTTCAATCCTAGACCTAGGTTTTTGAGTATATTATAATGTTGTAGTTATGAAACACTATCACTAAAAACATTAATATGGTCCAACCAGAATACAAGAAAATGTCCAACCACAAAGATTCATAGCATCCAAACAGAACCAACATCCAACTTCAAATCCAATCAAATACTACTACAGCACCTCAGTCGGTCAAACAAATTTTGTTTTTTTAAAACTAAATCTGATATTAGCAGGGAATAATCTCAGTTTAGTAGTCTCACTGACTAGGAGATTCATCCCTCGGCTCCCTCGAGTAATCTACAGGATTTGGGCTTCTGCTACGACTGGGGCTCCTGCTCCTCACAGGAGAACGCTCCCTTATCGGACTTTGACTGCGGCTCCTTGAACCGTTATAGGGTGGAGAATGCTCCCTCACCGGACTTCGACTGCGGCTCCTGGATCCATTATAAACAGCAGGAGACCTTGAGTATGACCTCTCTCGACTGCGCCGCGAGTATGACCTGTCTCGGCTATACCTTTTCTCCTGAGGTGAAACAGACCTGCCCCATTATCACAAACACCAGACAAGGTTAGCAATGCCAACAGAGAAATGTACGAAAAATATTCTAAGCACCAAGAAAGTTATCTGCAAATGAACACAGTGAAAACCCAGAAAATAGAAGAAAACAGATATTCTTCCCTAGAAAAATAAGGAAAACAGTGGGTTTTTTCCCCAATCTTTTCTTTGATAAACACACTATGGCTCAGTTTGGTTAGTCACAAACACCAGACAAGGTTAGCAATGCCAACAGAGAAATGTACGAAAAATATTCTAAGCACCAAGAAAGTTATCTGCAAATGAACACAGTGAAAACCCAGAAAATAGAAGAAAACAGATATTCTTCCCTAGAAAAATAAGGAAAACAGTGGGTTTTTTTCCCAATCTTTTCTTTGATAAACACACTATGGTTCAGTTTGGTTAGACGGAGAATACATGAAAGTGAAAAAAAAAGGGAATTTTTTTTGTTTTGTTTTATTTTTTCAGATAGGGGTTCCTAGAAAGTAATGAAAACTAAGGCTGTGTTTGGTTTTGTTTCCAAACAATGATTCTACACCCATATTCCAATATGATGTTTGGTTAGAATTTTCAAATCACATTTCCACAACTCTACTGAAAACTCTGTCTGGGACGCGTTTTAAAAAAAAAAAAAAAATTCAAATTTGGCCTAACCAGTCGTCCCACCGGATGTCCCACCAGATGTCTCACCGGTCATCCAGCCGGTTGACCGGAACAATAGAATTTATTTATTTATTTTTTTTTTTTTGCAATTGACATATGTTAATCTTTATATATTCGAAAAAAATATTTTTAGAATTTTTTATGTGCTTTAATAGAATTTTGATTTGTATGTTTGGTTATTAGTTGTAAGTTTTTGTATCAAATATCATATGTCACATCAAAAATTCCCCACTCAATTCAAAACTCTTTTACCAAACAAATTTTCTACACTCAAATCATAATTCTAAAACTCACAAACTCAAAATACAACTCAAACTCTCAAATCATATTTACGAAGCTCTACCAAACGCAACCTAAACTTTCCTATACAATTCAAATTAGCTTGTTAGATAGGGTTTCTGATTACACGCAAATTATTTTTCACACAAAACTTGATAGCTTATTTCGTTTCTCTCTTTGCCCATGTGCTTCCCCTCCACAACTACATATTCTGCGGTGAGTGATCTATAATCTATATTATCATGTTTTCTAAATTTAATTTTTTCATCATTTTCTTGCAAAATTTCCATCCTAGTCAAATGCATACAAGAAACTAAAAAATCATTTCCATTTCCTTCCTTTAACTTCACTTTCTACCACTTTATCATCTGTTTTCATTCTAATCCAACGGAACCTAAGGGAAGCAGGTGAGAAATTGTGGCTTCCAGAAAAAAGACCAAATTGCTAAGGAAAATAAAAGTAAGAGGACTATATTGCATACCTTGAGATTTGTCTTGGCTTAGGTGGTGAGTCATAGTCACGGCTGCGGGATCGCGATCTTGCATAGCGTGGAGGTGGAGATCGAGAGTACCTAGGTGAGCGAGAATACCGAGGCGGAGAACGTCTTCTGTCATAAAGTCGATCCCTGCATGTAAGCTTTTTAACCCAAGTACATGTATACAGGGGGGCACACTACCACTAACTAAGCCAAAGAGAACAGATTTATACATTTCATGACAAATAAAAATAAGACAATATGTTAAGCATGATGAATGTGTGTGTGGGAGAGAAGAAAAACCTACCTCCCCCCACCACGCTCCCTAGCCCTCATATCAGATGGCTTCTTCCTATTCTCTTCCGCAAATACAACAGTCAACTGGCGCCCTTGAAGAATTTGGCCATCCATATGATATTTAGCTTCGGCAGCATCAGCAGGATCTACATATTGGACAAAACCAAAGCCCCTTGGCTCCCTGCAAAATAGGGGGAACAATACCAAACCAAAAAACAAGAGAGGATGAAAACAAATCTTAAAAAAAAAAAAAAAACTGGAAAGATGATAGAAAAATGCTGCCCAAGCCATGGACCCCTTTGGGGCTGTTTGAATAACAAAAGGAGCCCAGTCAGCATAGGGTAGCACAACTGGGTTTTTATTATTCAATGTGTTTGTGACTTACATCTATGAAGATTCAGCTTCCCCATATAAAAAATTGTTATTTTGGGGGTTCAAAACCAACACTGGAGTTGGTTTCCACTTGAACAAGTGCGACACGTGAAGACACCCCTATTCTTTTAGGAAAATTCCAAACAGCCCCGTGGTATTAAAATTTTCCAGGATTATCCCAGTAATGAAACATGGCAAAATTATCCCCATTAATACAACAGGCCATGTTTAGCACATAGAGCAAGCACTTGGCATCTGACCTTGCAAGTGTCAGTTTTAAGATGACACGAAATTCTTCAAGACTTGAAATCTTGAAATCTTCACAATGTATAGAAACCCAAATTCCTTCCAATCTTCACTACCATTAACATCATCTTGAACACAACTCTTACTACTTGATTCTCTCAACAGAACTCTTAATACTTGATTGATGTCTTCAAAACTTTTATTTCACTGTTAAATCTCAACAACTTTAATAAAGCAACCCAAGTTGAGATAATAAAAGAGTAGAACATGAATAAGATATCAACCATCCAAAAAACTTAAAGGGGAAAAATAAAACAATCAAAATGGTAGTATTAGTTTAATAAACATGTCAATATGATCAAACAAGGAAGTAAAGGTCCACTTGATAAATAGGAGCTGGTTCATTAGGCAAAGTAACTTGGAAATCTCATTACTTGTGCTACACAAGCTCACCCAGTATAATAATCTCTTGGAAGGTAAATGTCCTTAAGAGCGCCAAATTGCCCAAATGGTCTCCGGAGGTCTTCTTGCCTGTGCAAGAGCATAAACTACAAATATAACTAATATGGAAGAGCACAAAAAAAAAATTTAAAATAATAAATAAAATAAAATAAAATAAATGAAATAAAGAATATTTTAATGAGAACCTAAGCTGCATGAATAACATAGAAGCATATATGATTGGGCACCTCAAGGACACTCCTAGACACATGTTTGATATTTGCTTAACCTGTCACTATGGTTTAGAGATAAAATTCAAAATTTTGAATATTTGACTTGACACTTCTTGGACTGACCAACACACATTAGGAGCATGCATATGTACCCTTGAAAATAGGAGGAAGACATCCACAAGGTCCAACCTTCTGATTATGACTTGAAAAAAAAAAGAACAAAATCAAAAACAAAAGAAGGGGAAAAAGAAATGGACTTTATCCATATAGCTACAAGATTTCTCAGGCAGGTAAATAAGATAATTGCAAGGAACAAAAAAAATAATAAGAGAATGTAAACTAAATAACAGAAGAAAATATAAGTACCAATTACCAAATATAATCAAGTCATACGATATTTTCCTAGCTTCATCTTGCATGTTATGCATTAGTGAATGAATAGAGACAGAAATTTAATTAAAATTCTACATTTGTCTTCCTACAAATTTTGCCCAAAAAGATTTTCAAGCATGCAGATCGTTCGGGTTAAATTATAGTAGAACTGACTAACGCACTACCATTTGACAAGTCATCTTTGCACTCTTATTTATGCTTGTTGATTCTTTAGTGTATTTGTGTTTTGTATTAAGTAAATAAATGTGAAATAAATGCACATGTAACAGACAACTGTATAACATAAGTTTGAGAAACTTCAAATACGTGCTCTGACCACAAAGATTCACACGTTGTCTGCGTGAGCCTGCAGTAACAAGAGAACACAACAAACTTTGTTACACCTCAGCCCCGGAAAGAATGAAATATGGACATGCAATTATGTCTACAACATAACCATCTAGGCCCAAATTATGAGGATCAAACAGAACTTTTTCATGGTGCTTCCATGTTAAATCTTTCTAAGAGGCTTTGATTGGTAGTTGAGAAGATCTTTTCCTGGGAAGGCCAGCTGGGGTAATAGGGTCTTTCTAAGATGGCCTTCTTCGTTTGGTATGCAATGCATGTAAAATTTCTTGCCATCTAAGAAGCACAGGTGGGGGTGCAGGTGCGATACAGGTACGCCGATACAACAAATTTTTTAAAAAGTAGGATACAGGTGGGTACGCCAATTTTTATTTTTGTTTTTATAGGTAAACATTCAGCATACAAATTAAAATTCAATAACATAATTAAAAGGAGAAATTACAACAACAACAAAAAAAAGAGTAAATCATTTTTCAACAATACCAATACTAAGTAAATTGACGAGCTATTTTAATGTCACTAAAAAAAAAATAACATTTTTTTCACTTCCAGTGGCTGTGGGTCATTCTAACAATTCAAATAACAATTTTTTCACTTCTAGTGGTTGTGGGTCATTCTAGACTTGCAAGTTGCATGCAAAAAATATATACATATATCAAGGGGAAAAAATGAAGGAGAGTTCAAGAAAGAGGAAGAAGAACCGAATCAATGAAAGAGAAAATCAAAAGGGGAGAATCGAATCAAAAAATAAAATAAAATAAAAAGAAAAGGACAGATTCGTTTGCTGCTAAGAGAAAAAAAAAATGAAAGAAAGAGGAAGAAGAATCGAAGAAAAATGAACCAAAAAAACAGAGGATCGACTGTTCGTTTACTACGAAGAAAGACACAAAAAATCTATAAAAAAAAATGAAAGAAAGAGGAAGAAGAATTGAAGAAGAAGAGGAGGAAGAATCCAAGAGAAACTCACTAGATTGTGTTCTTCAAAGGAGAGAATCAGCACCTTCTTGGAGCCGATTGTTTTCTCTCTTCTTGAGCCAACTATATTTCTTTGAAGGCGGAGGTATTGAATAGAACAAGTAACCCTAATTTCATTTGTTTCATGTTTTAGTTATTACAAAAGAATCCCAAGTTCTTCTAATTTTTTAAATGGACCAAAACAATTGCTCCAATACCCTTAAAATTGCAACAATTCTGTTTTTTACCCTTTGCGTACCCAAAAACATACCCTTTGCGTACCCATCGCATACCGGGATTATACTGACCATATAAAACGTACCCGGTGCGTATTTGCCATACCCGGTATGCGTACTCGCACCCGAAAAGTACCAAGCATGTGTACGGCAACATTTTTGTGTATGGCAACAGTTTGATAAGAAGGTAATGATGGTGAATTAGTGTTGCATGTGCAAATAGGATTGCGAATTGGGAAATTGTCACTTGATCCTTTGTCAAGTGGTGAGTAGTTAATCTCTCTCGCAAAGAGTCCCCCCCCTTCAAATACTTGGTCTCCCAGACAACTTTCTCAAGAAGTCTCATCAACTTGGCCACCTCCTAATCTTGTAATTGTTGATGTAGTAAGATATCCCACAAAAAAAAGCCTATTTACCCTCCATGAAAATAGTCCACCACTATAGCATTCTTATCAACTACAACATTAAAAACAGAGAAAACCTTCTCCAACCTCTCTTCCCCGTTCCATGGATGGAGCCAAAACATCACACTCCTCCCCATCCCTCATCACCATGCAAATGTTTTTTAAAACCCAACCCAACCCTTACAATACAATAAACCTCAAATGAGGTCTAATCCCCGCAAACACCACACCCATATTTTGCAGCCACTATCTCCTCCTCATCCTCCACCTCCACCAATCACCATCTATCATGTTCACACGCAAACAATCACTTCTTTAACATAGCTTGATTAAAAAAAATCAACTTCCTAATACCCAAACCTCTAGAGTGCAGACTGTGTTCCAACCTAACAAATAGTATGGGACAACTTCATTCCACAATAAATAACTAACTTTTCCAATCTACTTGCAACAAAGGATGGAATAGAAAATACAGACACAAAATACGTGGAGATTGAAAACCTCCTTCCCTAGTTAGAGTGCAGATTGTGTTCCAACCTAACAAATAGTATTGGGACTACTATTTAACTTCATTCCACAATAAGTAACTAACTTTTCCAATCTCCTTGCAACAAAGGATGGAATAGAAAATACAGACACAAAATACCTGGAGATTGAACATTGATCAATCTCTTTTAAAAACTTGCAACAATTAAATTCCAAGCTACCCGACCTTTAGGAGCCAAAAGGCAAATTCAGATAAGTAAAACGAAGGGACCTGACACTGAAGCAGCATGCATCAACAATAACCCATCCAATTGAGCATCTCGCCCAAACAATAATAATGTTTAGCATAAAAAAACGAGACATAAACAATGAAGTTATCACTAACCCACCTTGAAGGCCTTCACAAAACCTCCTCATTGTCCTTATCCACCATGCCACTCAATACCTCCACAATTAAAATGAACAAAATAGGAGACAAATGATCCCCCTTGTCTCAAAGTCAAACCTCTAGAGGTCTGGAAGAGAAGCCAACCAAGAAAACATTCACCAAAACTAACTACCTCACCACCTTAGATACGTAAAACTAATCCACTTCCTCCAGTTGGCAACAATTCCATAATGTCCTTCCGACCTCCCTCCTTAGGCAAGAGAGCATAATGTTATGCATTCAAGCTCAACGTATGGTTGGTACATTTTCAAGTTAATGTCCCTAGGAACCACACTACATAAGCCACTCAACACCAAATCAATAAAATTTTAGTCAATTTATACATGAAATGAAATTAAGGCATTTTCATTTAGCCTTTAGAACCTATATATTGCACCAAAAACTAATTCAAAAAAAAAATGTACCCACCTAATGAAACTTTAAGTTTATTATAGGTTATAAGCTGATCAGTGAATTGCATAAGAGACCTCTTGTCAACAAATTCTAGTGATTCAAATTACAAAACCATTTTTATAAAGCTTCATGTCAATATAAAAACCTTTAGGATCAACAACCGTAAATAAGTACAACAAAATAATACTAAAAACGGCATGAATAATCACATTATTTCAGTACATCAGACAACAACCAACAAGAAAATTAACAAGCACAAACCTACAATCACGTCGAAGGTTGCGAACTAAAAGACTAGTCGGAAGATCTCTGCTGCGACCACCATAGCGACCCCTTGGGCTAGGACTCCTCCCTCTTCTTCCATAGCCCCTTGGTGGCGAAGGGGTGTAACTCCTTCCCCTCATTTATACAAACAGATCAAATATCTGCCCAATTTAAGGAAACAAATAAGAAAAAGAAAAAGAAAAAAAAGAGCATTTCAACGGCAATCAACACAGCTTCTACAAAAATAACTAAAACACAACATATTCTAAAATAATTGGGTGCCTTTCAGAGACGCCACAGAAAGAAACTTCCCTCCAGTAGATGCCACCAACAATCCTCAAGAAAAATTATTGAAAGTTGAAAAAAAATAAAATCTTTGACATCTCTTCCCAACAAAGTCAACAAGTTCACTATGTACAATGTCAAGAACCCTCAACAAGACGCAATCAGATCTCTAAACATCTCCGTCGTATATATATGGATCTGAAGCAATGAAACCGCTATGGCTCATTGGCTATTCTAAAACACATGTTTTCACAGAACAAACCCTAGAAAATTAAACATGAATAATTATCAAATTAAAAGAAGATCAAATGGTGAAATAGATAGATATATATATATATATATATCATGCAAGCATACCGTCAAACAGTCCGTCAAACCATAAAATTGAACTAGAAAAAAAAAACGAAGATCGTGTCGATCAATCAGCAGATTTTCACAAAACTCATCATCATATACACACACACACACACACACATATATATATATATATATATATATATAGAGAGAGAGAGAGAGAGAAGAAGAAGAAGAAGAAGAAGAAGAAGAAGAAGAAGAAGATTCACAATCAGAAGAGGTATACCTGATGAGAACAGTGAGAAAGTTGGATCGCCGATTTCTTTCTCTCAGTAACAACGATTGCTTCTGCTGGAGACGGCGCTGTGAACCGTTTTGGGGCATTAGGGCAACTCCTCCTATAAAAACACCATACGCATATATGGCGGTGCCACGCGTCACTTTTTTGAGAAGGGGCACACCGTAACTGCTGTGTGGCGACACTACCTTAAACTTATTACTAAATAAATTTGAAGAAAAAAATTAATAAATTATTTTTTATTCAAATAATTAACGAATTATTTGGTTAAAATATAATTAAATGAAAATTAATAAATTATTTTTTATTCAAATAATTAACGAATTATTTGGTTAAAATATAATTAAATGAAAATTAATAAATTATTTTTTATTCAAATAATTAACGAATTATTTGGTTAAAATATAATTAAATGAAAATTAATAAATTATTTTTTATTCAAATAATTAACGAATTATTTGGTTAAAATATAATTAAATGTTGTTTAAATTAAACAATTTTAATAGGTTTTAATATAATTATGTCAAAACTTGTGTTTGGGATGCAAATTTGGAGATAAAATAGTTAATAAAGATAAAAAAAAATATTAAAATAGCTAATAAAACAAAGGTCTCTTTTGGAAAGTGCAAAAAAAAATCAATTTATTGATTTATTTGAGTCACATTATTTATCTACTTTTTTATACATTTTTTCTTCGTAATAAATAAAATTTTAAATTTTCTTTTTTTTGCACTTCCCAAAACAATTCAAAATGTCACATCTAAATCATAACTATTTTATTTTTTCTCTCACAATCATCGAGTCAATTACAAAAAAAACTAACTATTATTATTTTAAATATAACTTTTTTAGCCAAATTAAAATAATAATAATAAAACTAATTAAAATAGTTAAGTTTCCAAACTAGCCCATTATACAATTTATACTTTCCTAGTCTAAAAAGAAGTCAGTGTAATTTATTCCAAAAATAATTAAATGTAATTTTTTAATTCAATTACGAACTAATTTTTTTATTTGCACAACAAAAAAAAAAAAACGAAGGCCATAATCACTTGAGTTCACACTTTCTTCTAGTCATTACTTGTGTGACTGAGTCTGATTAGTTGACGTGTGAGGTTGGACGTTCTCTAATCCTTGGCTTTAAGGCCCATTTATTTTCAAAACTGTGTGAACTTGGCCTAAATGTATAGCCTCAAATCTGTACATTAGTTTATCAATCACATTAATTTTTTATTATTATTATTATTATTATTATTATTTTAATAATGACATAAAGGGTTGCAGAAGCAAGAATTTATTATTGTTTTTACATATAGGTTAGCTTGGTGGATAGGGAAATTCCTTTCCCAATTGAAGGTCAGACTACTACAAATCTCGTCACTCTATACAATACAATTTTTTATTATTCCCTTCATATAAAAAACAGCAAACGAAAAAAATATATATTATTCATCGACCCATTTTCAAGCCCAAAATCAGGCTCAACATGCATTCACTTGCGTTTTTTTATAAATAGAAAAAATACAAGACTAATATATTAGGGTGTTTTTCAATAAATTCATTATCTAAGATTGTTATTCCATAAGATTCATAGTGTTTTATAATATTCCATTAGGTCCATTTCATACCAAAAGACCAAAAAAATCTTCAAATAAACACGCGCCTATGTGTCTTTCAATCTAATAACCATCTCTCTTCCCCTCTATTCTTGCGCACGAAATCATGCACAGTATCTCTACCATTCCAGAAATCCAAATCTGTATTTTATATCGCCTCGACACCCAGAAGATTGTCTTTGTTTCATCGTCGCATCGTCTCATCATTTTCTTCATCGTCCCTACGTCGTCGATCACCAAAATTGTGAAATCACCATTGTTGCACATCCGTAAGGTCTATCTTTGTCAAAATCACCCTCGACGACTATTTGTGACAACGCAACCTTCGAAATGGGCAAAAAACGTAAGCATTCTACTCATTCGTGTATTTAAACTCTAAATCTCTTTTTCAACAAACAACATTGTGAACTTTCACAAATATCCCCTGTTTTTATGCATACAATATATAGGACTCCATATTGTTCATACCCTAACCTTTAATTTGAACCCCTCAATCGTAATCCCTAATTATATTGATTTTTTCAGTCAAAAACATTACAGTTGCCATTATGTTGTGTTCACAACTGTGAACATTCAAATGGTTTGGAAAAATGTTGGCCAAACCAAATAATTTCTGTTGTTGTTGTGATTGTTGAAAGCTGTGAACATTCACATTGATTGAAAATGTTTGGATAATCAAATTATTCCAGATAATATTCATGTTGTTGTTCAATGTTGTGAACATTCACATGGATTGAAAATGTTTGGCCAACTCTGGTGTTGTTGTTGTTGTTGAAAGCTGTGAACATTCACATTGATTGAAAATGTTTGGATAATCAGATATTATTGGTGTTATTATACAATGCTGTGAACATCATTGTAGTAAGAATGTGCATTGCCATACAAATTAGGATTGTAAATGTTCACAACATCCTTTTATATGTTTGTGTTAACATCCACGTGTTCTTGAATGTTATTCATGGTTGTATAAAAATATATTGATTTTTACACACTCACACAATATGTACATTGTGTTTGTGCTGACACAGTCAACATACACATCCATGTACAGATGTGGATATTCACATCCATACACAAACTGTGCTCATTCACACTCATGCACACAACTGTGAACATGCACATCAGCGACAATGCTGTGAATGTTCATATCTATTCCGCTATGCTAATCATATGAGCCTTGACTTAATTTTTTTTAAATGCTTCATTTTGCAGATCTTGCACAAAAGAAAACCTTAAAGAGAAAAAGAGATGAGTACCACGTGAAGGAAGAAAGCCCACAAGCAAATACTACCAACAATGTTGACATGCGACATGTGAACTACAGATCTAGCATGACCGAACTGGTGAAATTAATGAAAAGCACCAAATTCACACAAGCACAGCTTGGCTACCTGCAACAAACACATTTTTTGCATTTGTTAAATGTATTGAGAAACAGTGAGATCGACCTTGACAAATGCATGAAATACGATGATGTTGTTGTGCATGTCCTACAAATGTACAAAGCTTCAAAAGATGCCTTCTACATTGGGGAGAAGAAGATGAACATACACGACAACGACATCAAGCTGATTTTTGGTGTGGACAGTGGCATCAAGCCGATAGACATATCATATGGTACGAAACCAAAGACTGGCATTACAAACAAAAGGTGCAAAAATGTCAGCCGATTGACTTCAAAATGGATACGCACCCTTTTGACCGAGGCATTGAAAGACAAAAAGAAAGATGACAACGAAGAAGTCGCCCGACTAGTCTGCATATATGCTTGCCAAAAACTTTTTTCTCAACAAGCGGAGAGACAATAGGATGAGGCTACTACACACATATGGTCCCATTGGAAAGCATGCAAGAATATGATTGGGCCAAGCAAATTAGAACAATGTTGACATCCTCCATTTCCCAAAACGACAAAAAGCCGGCAAAGGTTACCGGTTGTGTCATGTTATTGATGGTAAGTACCAATGTTGTCAAATAATAACTCACACATGTCCTTCAGTGTTGTTCATCTAAGCCAACTGTGAACATCCACATCTGTACCACTGATGTGAATGTCCATATGCACTTATGTTTCACAGATGTGAATGTTCACATCTATACCATTGATGTGAATGTTCATATCCACTCATGACATACTAATGTGAATGTTCACAATAGTACCACTGTTATTAATATTCACATATGTTGACATTACTATGCAAATGCTAAATAACATATGTCTTTGTTGTTTTATTGAAGTATTGGTTGTGTGAGCACACAACCATCCTACAACCTCACAAACCCAATGTCTTTCTTCGCTGTGTTAAGTGGGATGTGACTGCTTTACAAAAGAAGATGAAAACCACCTCTTTAGCTGATATTGGTTTTAATGAGGTAGGGCCTTCAACTATTGATCAAAACATTCACATTATGACACTACCCAAATATATACGTTAAGTAACATAATTTTTTCATTTCAGGTTAATGCCGGCGAACTCTTTGTAACCCCAACAGAATTACAAACGTTCAGGCATACAACATTGAAGATGGAGCCCGAAATTTATGAACCAACCACAACATCTCCCAATCTATCTGACATCAAGGAAGAACAACACAATGGCTGCAACTCCCAATTTGCTAGGGATGGAGTTGAGCTAAAGGACAGTAATGAGGACATTTACATTCTGTTTAGCAGCGCACATGATGAGAGACCTATTGTCATACCAAGCACAAACCAACCTGATTTCATTGATGTGCTTATCAAAGAAAATCGGAAAGCTTGGGGCGTCATAAGGCAATGGGAAGCAAAGTACAAACACATTCAATTCTTATGAGAGTTAAGGGCAAGAGTCATAGCTGATCTTGAACATAAATTGTTCAACCAGTCAAGCCCAACCAACATGAATACCGAAATAAAAAAGTGCATAGAGCAGAATGATGAAGAAATTAAGCGTTTAACGCAGCTGGGCATCGACTTAGAATGCGAGAAAATAATTCTTCAAGACCTTTACAATGACCAGTCAGTCCACATTGTCACACAGGCTGAGGCACAGAAGCAACCCCCTAGCCCAATGTAACACAATCTCAGCCCACCTTCTAGGGTGAAGCGTATAAAGGAAAAAGATCGAAAAGAACACTGCTTGCCTGATTTCCAGTACCCAGACTTGCCTGGCCAAAAACAGCCCCATACAGTCGAAATGGTTGAAGATATGGACAAACACCCACTAGCAAAGCACCCAAAAAAATTAACCTTGACCAACAAGTTCAAAGTCTAGAGCAAGATGTCCAAACAAGACAAGCAAAATGTCTAAGCTTTACAAAAGAGTGGAGGCGATGAGTAAGTGACTGTACAAACACCTAATGTCAACATTCACATTCCATAATTGTCAATATTCACCACTGTGCTTATTTATTTGATTTGTTCAGATCTGTGCAATGTTAATATTCACATTGGTTTGTTTAAAATGCACAGACTGCTTGTGTGGAAAGGAGACTCGAAGTCTACACATGTGTATTTTGATAACA